TTTGTGTGAAGGTCTGCTGCTGTGTCAGTGTGTGGGAGCAACCATGAATGAAAGTACCTGAAGCTGTTTCCCAGTTTCCTCTGTAAGTGTTTTAGCAGAGACTCTGCCTCCTCTCTGAGATGATGCTGTGAACCTGTGAAATCAGCAGCAGCTTATTTTATACCAGTGTCCAGTAGTTTGTAGATTGATGCTGTTGACAGCCTCTGTTCTGAGCTTAAAGGAGGAAAAGCCTGGCTGGAGTTGAGTCTGATCAGTGTCTCATTAGAAACAGTTGAGGTGTCTGACAGATGAACTCTGTGGCTCTGAAACAGTAAATATACAGTTAATCTGATGTCAGAGGAAAAAACTAAAAAACTGAAAACTACCTGTGACAGAGCAGCACCCTTCACTCCCTGTGCATCAGGTTGTTTGTTGTTAGTGAGGTTCCTGCTAGACTCTACTGTTCAGCTGCTCACACACACACACACACACACACACACACACACACACACACACACACACACACACACACACACACACACACACACAACCAGACCACACCACACACACACACACACCACACCACACACACAACACTACACACAGCACACCACACACACGCACCAACACACAGAAACCACCCGCACACACACCACACACACCACACAACACATCACACACAACTCACACACACACACACACACACACACACACACACACACACACACACACAACACACACACACACACACACAAACCACACACCCACACACAACACACACCACCACACACACACACACACATAGCACACCACACACACACACACACACACACAGACTCAACACAGCTCAAACCCTGGAAGCTTCAGCAAACATAATCATCATCCCTCTGCAGTCTCTCTGTAATTATTCTGCTGCTCATGACACACACACACACACACACACACACACACACACACATTCTGTTCTTTGAATTTAGAGTGAACCACATTTGCATGTCAGCAGTACTGAGGTTCTTTAGAGCTGAAGCACTGGTTTTAAACCAGTAAACACTGGTTTCTTTATTGGTTGACATTTGAGTCATGTTGATGTCACAACAAACACTCATTTTAAAGCAGCTTTAAAAATTAATTTGGTATCAAAACTAGATTTCAACCACTAATGTCAGTAGCAGATCGAGCTGGTCGAGCCCTTCCTCCTCTGCTGGTCTTCTCCATGTGGGGCTTATCTATGAAGCCTGGGCCTTTGGTTGCCCCCCCCCCCCCTTGTGGTGGCTCTGGTCTGGGCTTGGGCGCCTGGCTGCCTACCCTCTGTGGCCGGTCCTGGAAGTCTGCTAGTCTCACACACAAACACACACACACGTTGATTGTACCACCTCTCTCTTTCATTCACACACACACAGTGGCAGTGGTTAGCTCACCGGACAGATCCAGTCACAAAGCAGAGCCACAGTAAAGACTGTGTCACACCCACCACCTGAGTCAGTAGCTGTTACACAACCTGTTCAAGGCAGGAATGTTGCACCTTTAATTTGTTCTTTGGAAGAGATACAAACACAGAATGGGGGGGGGGGGGGGGGGGGGGGGGGGCTGTGTAAAAGGGACAGACTCTGTTGTTGTTGTTGTTGTTGTTGATGTTACCATGGTAACTGACTGAGTTTTTCACTAAACCCGCTTTCTGGAATAGACACCTGTTGTCGTTGATGTTATTGTTCTTGTAGTTCTTGTTGTTGTTTTGTTGTTGCAGAGGCCTGAGGCCTGTACTACGAAGCAGGATTTGAGGTCATGGAGGTAACTTCAGGTTTAACTCTGGGTTTTCAGTCCTACCACGGTGGTTCACTTGTTACCGGGGTAAATCACCATGGTAACTTACACTGAACTCCTAACCTGCTCTGGCGCAGGTTAACTTCAGAGGATCAGATCAAAACCTGTCAACAGCCAAAACTGAGTCATAATTCCTACAGGATCCTGACAGGGACAAAAGAGTTTACAATAAAGTGATAAATAATAACGAGCAGTAGATATAAAATATAAATCAGTGGAATCATTTTGCTGTTTGAGTCTTTCCATGTGTCCACTCTGGTTTTAAAACAAAGTTTCTAAAAAAAAATGCACGGAGAGTTTATCACACTAAATAAATATTTAATAACTATTTTAGCTTCATTTTAATTGAACACAGATTCTTTAATCCGCCAGGATTTCTGACAGTGTCGATGCTTTTACTGTCTTCTTCATCACTGCAGCTCAGAATAACATGAGGAGACTCTGAGACCACAACTGGAAATAAAAACTAAACCAACAATGATCCACACACTGTTAATTATTTCCATGATTATAAATAAACATTTCAGTCAGACTGACTCATCAGACATCAACTACTCCTCTCCTCTTTTCTTTCTCTCCTCTCTGCAGCAGAAACAGTCTGACTTTAACTTTAACTGTTTTATCTGCATCACATTCATCACAGTTTGTTCATCATCAGACTGAAGAGCGAAAATAATCAGTAAGAAACATAATGATAATTCACGCACTTATTTACAATATATCTTTAGTTTGACTTTAATAGTAATTATATTTAGATATCATTTTTTTATTCCAGTCATGTGATCATATTATTTACATTTCACCTTGTTGAACATCACTTTTGGACGTGCCTGTAACCAAATTACTGACAGGTATGAGCGTTTCTTCTCATATCATATCAAGAACTTTGTTCATGATTCTGACGATGTTGCTTATAATTAACAACTCCACCTCTTTCACATTAGCACGCATGTAACCGGACAGGTAAACCCAGGGTTAACTGAGCCAGTTGATAACCAGCTTTGTAGTATAGGTTTTTCATGGCCAGTGTTAGGTTCAGTTAACCCGGATAACTAAAAGCTATCCTGGGTATGTTGAACTCGCTTTCGTAATACAGGCCTCTGTTGTCATTGTTGTTGTTGTTGTTGTTACTGTTGTTGTTGTTGTTGTTGTTGTTGTATTACACATCACACCTCTGACTCCGGCGTCATGTGGACTCGTTCGGTTCAGTGTGTCGAGGGTCTTCTTTAGGCCAGTGTACTGGGCTCTCTGTGTGAAGAGTCTAACAGTTCATTACCTCCTTCTGCCATGTGGGGCCGCCAGTGTGCAGAGACTGTGGTGCAGCTGTAGTGACTCACCTTCCTCTGTCTCACCTGTTTGTGACAGGAATGAGTCCTATAGCACATAAACTCTCTAAAGCAGTGTGTGTGAACACAGTCTCATAATGACTTCATGTTTATTCTTAATGTGATCACAGTTCTATTGTCAGAGAATCAGCTGATGTTTTAACTGCAGGAGGTGGACAAAGCTCTTAAGGTGGACTTTCTCCTCTAAAGGAGGACTGTAACTATTATGATTGATCACTTCCATCGTTTTCATCAGCTTCATCAAGTGTCAAACTGATGCTGATAATTCAACAGCTCGTGTTTATATATAAATACATTATATTATATATTCACTCTTCTTTGAGCCGGCTCAGTGGATGAATATGGCACCTGCCGCTGAGGGATGAACACACGTATGTACTGTGTGTGTGTGTGTGTGTGTTGTGTATGTGTGTGTGAGGCTACTCCCACCCTCCTCTCCAGCGTTTTTCTTCATTGGTGTCGTCTTTCATCACATCTAATCTTCACATGAAGCGTCTTTGAGGCTCTCTGTCATTCAAAAGGAAACAGAGAGGACAAGAGACCTGACAAAATAATGGACCGGAGAGAGCGAGGGAGGGAGGGGGAGAGTGAGGGAGCGGCAGGGAGAGATTATTCAAATACCACCCACCCTCCTTCTCCCCTCCTTCCCTGCAGC